TAATTTTAAAAGTATTTTAATCGGAAACACAGCTGGGAATATTTGGTTTTAATTCGGCTTTTATCAGGGTTTATTCTTTTGTATTTTTGTATTGTGTATTTTCTGTATTTTGGGTATATTATTTGTTTTTAATATGCTGTGAACCGCCCTGAGTCCTATGGGAGAAGGGCGGTATACAAATTAAAATAATAAATAAAAAATAAATAAATAAATAAATAAATAGTCTACAGCCTGGCGGTTTCTAATTCTAATTTCTAATTAGTACCCCCAAGTACTAATTTGATTTGGCCCAAGTTTGTTTTTGTTTTTTTTTAGTTCAGCTAAGACTGGCTAGGTACTGATTCTGTTGTGAAACTCCCAAGTCTGCCAAAAGCATCAGAGGTAGCTTTGCTCCTTGTACAAATGACAGTATTTAGGAAAAGGGTTGCAGCTTTGCTCCTAAATTCCCCCCCCCCTTTTTTTTTTAGAAGCACATAAAATGCAACTGCACGTTTCTCATGGTGTCTAGTTTGTAGGGCCTTTTTTGTGTTCAGTTGAACAGCCAGGAAAACTAAGCTAAGTTAATCTCACAACTGTAGTTGGTGGAGAACCCCCCTTGTGCTTGTCTCAGTGCCAGGCCTCCCTGCCAAAGTAGATTGGCACAGCCAAGGAGAGAACATTGCCTGTCATTTATGTTGGTGAACTTGGTGAGCCAATGACACACATCCAGTATTGGTGGAAGCAGGGTAAATTGTGGTAAATTGTCCGTCTTGTACCACTAATTCTACTTAACCTGTGAGCCATTTTTTGTTTGTTTTTTTTACAAAGTATGTATCTGCACCACCAATACAAGTACTTTGGTTGCGACAAACCTATTCTGGAAATAAAGATAAAGATACTTTGTAAGTAAAGTCTGCAATTTGAAGTCTCCTTGCCTACCCTACATCTCTTGCCTATAGGAAGCCAATGATATTCAGAAAAAATACCCAAAACTCTTGTTGAATATAAATTCAGTAGGTGGTAAACCTTGTTTTGGTTCTCCGAAATGCATATTTTTAGAATTCAAAGGCCAGCAGTAGTTGCCATATTACTTGGGTGACAGATGACAAAGTTATTGAATGTTGTCTGAGTATCATGTAGCCAAATTACAAAATGTTCAATTAGAATATAATAGAAATG